TGGATGAGTGGGTGCACGTCAACTGCGGTCTGTGGTCAGCGGAAGTGTTTGAAGATGACGAGGGCCGTTTACAGAATGTTCAAGTAGCAATATCGAGAGGAAAACAGATGGTATAACCTTTAGTTGATTGTTTGTACTTTTATTTTACACCAATCCCTGTACTCTTTTCTCCCTTTTACATGTATTTTGTATACAACAACAACAACAGCAGCAGCAGCAACAAGCTTTACATCCGAGACTTTGATTGTTCCCTCGCAAGCTGTAGAGCTCATTTTTTGTTTTATGTTGGTCAGTGTTTAATTAAAAGGTTTTCATTCTCTTTTGAATGCTCTTTTGATTACCTTTCAGGTGCAAAGTCCTTCCAGATGCAAATTTCTCGTGATTAACTCCCCTTCCCCTTTGGGCAATAAATGAAAAAAACAAGTCATACCCTATTTTCGAAAGTTAATTAATTAATTTGTTGTTGTTACTACTGCAGTCGTTGTTGTTGCTGTTGATTTTTGGTGCTTCTTTAAATGCAGTTGTCGCTGCTGTTGCTGTTACTGAGTTCTGATTCTCACTAACTACCTTCCTCTGCTTCTAGAAATGTGAACATTGTGGAGAAGTTGGGGCTACTGTGGGCTGTTGTGAGCCCCGCTGTCCCATGAATTATCACTTCATGTGCGCAAGAAACGCAAACGCCGAGTTTCAAGACGACAAGAAAGTGTACTGTGCTCAGCATTCCTTCAGAACCAAGAAAGAGGTTGGTCAAATTTTGATTCCATCACTCTAGCAGTTTGAATCAGGGTTTCGCCCCCTTGTTCAGCAAATAAATACTCAGTTCCAGTTAGAGCAGTTTTCAATTGAGTGAAAAACCAAAACCATGTTAATCACTCTGGGCAATCACAAAAGATACAGACAATCCAATGAACCAATCAAAACTGAAGTAATTACATGTCGCTGGCGCGAAGCGCGGGAAAGCGACCGAGTCACGATTAGTTTTGGTTTTACTTCTGATTGGATGAAAAAGTGGCGCGAGTTTCTAAGCCAATCGTGTAGCCTAGTAATTAACGTTTCGACACTTCAGTGAAAACCACTTTGACTATGTTTTTATGTGTCTTTATTTCATCAGTTGCTGATGCGCGATGATGACTTCTGTGTGGAGCGCCGTGTTTGCGTGGATATGAGTAAAATCCGAGCTACAAAGAAGCTGTCAAGAGGATTTGAACCTCATTCTATTAACCTTGTGCAAGGTATGTAACTCACGTGCATCACGATCGTGAAAGAGAGCCACTTTTTGCGATATTTGAAATCACAAAAATCAAAATATGAAAGTGTTCTAAGGTTTAAAAATACCTTAAAGGTTGAAATAAAACATAAAGGGTCAAGCATTGTTAAGATTGAGAATGATTGGGACGGATTGCAAACGGCGAACTTGGTCGTCTTTGCAAGATGCACAGTCGCGACTTAGCTCTTACGAGGTTCACACCGTCTCTCGAAATGACCTCAAAATTGAATTTTCTTGAATTCCTCCATGTAGCCCTGAGAAGTTTATGAACTGGCCCCAGAACAGAATGGTCTGGATAAAATTACTAACTCGCAAATTATAGCCTTATTTGGGAAGATTCGATGTGATAGAACAAGCACGAAAGAATCGACTACAAGCAGCCCGTCTTAGCTCGTGTCCTGTCGAGCGTGACGCGAGAGATAGCGCGAGAGGAAAGTGATGGGCACGCAAGGGCAAAATATCGCCATTTTTTCCCTGGCGGTGTTCATCGCCTCACGCCCGACGGACTAGACGTGTTGGCTGTAATCTAGAGAAACAGTTCCATCGCATGGCTAAACATAAAGAATAGAAGAGAAGAGTACAATTGGGGGAGAAATTTGAAGTGTTTTGAAATGTGATGAATCACTACCTCGAATGCTTGTTACACATTAGTCAAAACTAAAGCTAAGGGAAAAACGAAGGAAAAAAATCCCTGTTAGTTCATAAGACAGATTTCCAAAACACAGTCGTGATTTTTTTTTTTACGTTATGGATAATTCACAAATTTGACAATGTTGTTTATTTTGTAGGTTCTCTTACCGTAGAAAACATAGGTCGACTGAACGAATATTCTGACACCAAACAAACGCTTTATCCGATCGGTTACAGGTTGGTCAGAAAACTTTGCAAATGTTTTTCGTAGATATTTCCAGCAGCTTTCCTTTTTTTGCCCTCAGTCAGCTGCAAAAATGACGTAAAGAATCGTCGCGGGTTGTTGCATAATTTTGAAATCTCACAAAGATATGTTTTGAGATCCCCCGCCCCAGTCCCACTCGATGTAAGTTTCGTTTTGAGCCCCCCTTCCCGCAAAATACCCTTCCCCCTGAATATGCCATATTTAGATTAGCTTAGATTCAGCCCCTGAAAAAAATCATACATCGCCTTTTGATTATAAGGCTTCCACTGGAAAGTTTGTTTTGCTTTTTAAATCATTACAGTATGCCCAGTGGAGGCGCGGTGGCCTCATGGTTAGTGCGCTCGACTCTGGATCCAGTGGTCTGGGTTCGAGCCCTGGCTGTGATCACTGCGTTTTGTTCTTGGGAAAGACAGTTAACTCTCTAAATGGGTACCAGTGATTTTCTTTTTGGGGGTAACCCTGCGATGGACTAGCATCTCATCCAGGCTGGAGTTGAAATAGTCCTAGTCGCTTCATGCTACAGAAACCGGGATAAGCTCCCAGCTGTATGGATCTCTTCGCTCGACGCAGACGTTACTTATAATATGCTCAGAGACTACTGATGTTCATTTAACGAGTGCACAACTCGTTATGTGTTTCATCATTTTGTTCTATATTGCTTTTAGAAGTGTTGCGAGTTTCAGTAAATATGACTTGTTGTTGTTTGTTATCCAGGACAAGTCGGTTGTATTGGAGCGTTAAGGATCCTACTAAACGATGTCGCTATTATTGTACGGTGGAAGAGAAGAAAAAATCGTTCCCAGCGAAATCGCAACAGGAAAGTAAAGAGTTAATTGATCAACAACATCTACACAAAGTTATTTCCCACGAGGAAGTGAACAAGAAGGAAAAGCCAACGAAAAACATGACTTCATCTCACGGAGATCTTAAGAACATGGCGCCTCCTCGCAATAATATATCAAATGACTACTTAAACAGCTCGTATGGAAAGAAACTTAAAAGGATTGCCCCTCATCCAGGGCCCTCGTTAATTAATCACGCGGTATTTCCAGGAGTTCTCTTTAAGGATACGAATTTGGGACCTTCTAGCTCACATTTTTCTAAACTGAGAAGAATTCTTCCGGCTCCTCAGAAACCTCTGCCTCCTTCTCCTTCGCACTCTCCAAGGAAACTACTCGAGCACTTAAACCGACAAGCGACGCATTTACCAGCGATAATGAACCCTGTTTATGCCGAAAAATCGCCATCCGTTTCTAATCCTTCCCCGCAGCAAAAGACCACGCCCTCTAGAAGTAGAAAAACGCCTCCCGCAGCGAAAAGGACTATAAGTTTTGAGGATTCTATTCCTCAGACTGTAAGACAGTTGAATTGTGATCACGAGGTGGTAGCGAAAGTGGAAGACGGAGAACTGTCAAATTCACCCGTTAAGGAAAAATCTGCCAAGTCTTGGTTAGTGAGTCTTCGAGAGAGAGAAAGAAACGCTTTGCAAAGCGAGGAACTTTCTGTTTCTTTTGTTATTACGAGCGAGGAAGGAATCAGGATTGAAGCCAACACGTGTGAAGGTATGGTCCGGATTCTAAGAACAGTTAAATTGTATTTCTATACTATGTCAAGACATTTTCAAGCGGATAGGTCTGGAGAGCAAAGAAAATCACCAACTAGCAGATATTGCCGTGATAAATCTCCAAATTGTGAGCCTGTATAACAGCCGCCCTCCCCGAATTTTTTCTCTAGGGAAGGGGTGGGGTGGTGGTGAGAAGGAGAGGAGGGCTGAAACACAGGCTACCAAATTTTCAGATCTAGAGTTAGTATTCTGTGTTTGAGATTATAAGGGTGTTTTATTGTGCTTAGTCTTTAATAAGCAAGACTCTATAAAATTTAATTCCTGTGCAACGAGCTGTTGTGTTAGTCAAAGCGTCTCCACGGCAGTACAACCAGCCTTCTGTACTAAATTCGTTTAAGTCGGTCACGCGATACTCTTACCTTGAAGCGTTGCGTGACCACCCTGGTAGCCACTGTGCAACAGAATAGGGTATATTACGCTGACTGGCAAATTCTCTTCAGATATCCGTCGATTTGCTCAAATCTCAATATGGAGCCGGAATTCTGCCAAGAAAAGTTGTTCTGACCGAGGTGTTTTTTTTAAATGGCAGCCACATAATGCTAGATGAATCGTTAATTGAAATATTCCTTTGTGTTAACATTTTAAGCTGCCTGGAAAGACGTTTTTGAAATGGTGCAGGAAGCGAGGATAGACCGTCTGTTGAAGCTGGTTCCCTTTGCAGGTACTGTTTTATATTCTTGTTTTACTTCGATACATGGAACAAATATAAAAATTCCCAGCACCCAAAACTGGGAAATTTCATGGCGTGAAATTGTGCTTTTCGAGCAACTGACCTTACCAAGTATTTGTACAAGATATGGCGGAAGTGTAATAAAACCTAGTTCACACTAGCGACAAAATGACATAATAAGGATGTTATGTCGTTATGTTTGCAGTGTGGACACCCTGACATAATGACATAATAGCAACATAACAGCATGAACATGACGATATAAGGAAACCAAAAAACTGATGTGTTCCTTATATCCTTGTGTCGATATTCACAGTACTGCAGAAGGCGGTGATCTCGTTATGTCGCTAGTATGAACTAGGCCTAACTCGATCGATCGATGAATTGATTGATTGATTGATTGATTCATTGATTGATTGA